AGGATAGACATTTTTTTTTTCAAGCTAAGCGCTAAGCTACTAATTCGATATTGTTGACCATTAAATGAGAATGGATAGATATTGGAATAAATTCCTTGAAATTAAGCTTTCATTTCTTTTTCTCTCTCTCTCTCTCTCTCTCTCTCTCTCTCTCTCTCTCTCTCTATCTTTCGTTTTTTTCTTCTTCACATTTCTACAATTATTTGTTGGATTGTATCACTCGAATTTATTCATTTATTACGTGGCCAACAAGCAGTCAGCTAATTCAATATTTCATGTAATTGGTTCTTCATTTCTTTACTAACAACTCTTTTTTTTTTCACCATATTACAACAATTTGATTCAAAATATCACTCGATAAATTCAAAATTGAATTTTGACAATTTTTTTATTTTGAATAATTTTGCCAAAAATATTAGTGTGCTGGAGATTCTCATCATATTACACAAAAATTCTTGCATATTCCTGAATTTATTCTTAAATTTTTCAAAAACAATTGTTATCATTATTTTCATTATCGCTATCATTTCATAGTTCCGCGATATTCATTTTTTTAATTGATCAGTTAACTTTGTCATCACTGTTTTATTTGACAACTTCATTTAACATCATTATCAGTTATCAGCATCTTGTAATGCATTTCAATAAGTGAAGTTTTTGAAAATATTTATTGCATTAAAAAAAGTTACACTAATCATTTTCAAGTATTTTAATTATTGCATTAATATGATTCTTTCTTACATGATTTGTTCATGGTTGCATAAATATGATTTTTCTTAACCAGCTGCTAATTATAATTAAGTAATTAAGAAATTAGCATTTAGATTCAAAGTTTTACTCGCCGTTCAGGTAATATTTCATTATTTTGTGCTTAAGTTTTCATCAAAAAGGGCTGTTTTTCCTTAATTCTTCAGGAAAAACTTAATAACATTATTTTCATTGTTGGACCGGACTTAATCTTTATTCACTTACAACTAAAAGTTTAAGTAAACATTTCAATTCCAACAAAGACGATGAATTCATTAGCGATGAATTGGGCTTCTCATTTCTTAGACTATTTATTTAACAATCTTTTTTTAAATGTGTTTTTGGTTTTGAATTTATGCAACTTTAAGTTTTGAATTTACTAAATATTTTGCCATATCAAAATCGGGTTTATTACGTTATTGTTTAAATGCTTAAAAATTTCAAATATTTAAGTATATCATATCAACAGTAAATTAAAGCAAACAAGATTGAGAAAGAAAAATAATTAAGAAATTTTAATTCAATCAATAGTCTATTAAGAAATTTTCTAAATTCTTTACCTAATTTTAATGGCTAATTTTAAATGACTAATTTTTGAAACGACTAAGGGAAAATATTTTAGCTTGAAATTCAATATAACAAAGCTAAACGAAATGGTGTTATATATTGTTTTTTTAAAAAAAAATGTTTTATCATTTCACCTCCTCAATGTTTTTTTTTTCTTTCGTTCGTCTGTTTCCTCCTTTTTTTATTTTCAACTTCCAATCTCTCATACATCCTTTCATTCTTCGATTCTTTTTTTTTTTCATATTTTTCAATTATTGATGAATAATAAGAAAGAGAATGTAAAAGCAGTGATTAACTGTCAGATGAAATGTAATTTGATTCCAACCTCAGGCTTTATAGATTTATTTTTATATTTCAGCCAAAATCAAATTTCAGCAAAATTCTTCTGTCCGTTTCATCTTTCAATATGTAATATTGTCAAAATTAAAAAGTTATTTCAGCTTACTATTATTAATATATAATCCAATAATTTCTATTGACAATATTCATATTTTGATCGAAATATATTTTTACTGTGTTGCAGTACGTAATGACTGTTAAAAAAGTGAAAAATATTCTGAAAATCTGTAAAAGATGCAGCAAAAGATTTAATTAAATATTCAAACTGAAAATAAATTAAACAAAATTGCTTTTTTTATTTAAATTATGGAAAAATTAAATTACAGAATCTATTAAATTATCCAACAACCATAAATAATTGATAATTTTGAATTGGTATTATTATTCCATTTTTATGCCTTTTCATATAACAAGTAAGGATAGGAGAGAAGGATTAAGTTTTGAATTTCTAAAATGGTTGTAAGTCACATTTATTACACTTTATCACAATCAAAGATGAACTGAATTAAAATGAAAATTTTAAAATTTAAAATTTTAATTTTTACAATATGTGCTCTTTTCCTTCTCATCTATAAAACAGATTTCTTTATAAGTTTTAATTTTCATTAAAAAAAATAAATTCATATTAAATTTGAATGTCAATATTAATTTAAATATTAATTTGTGCTAAATTAATCTCCCGATATTTTCGCCCTAATTATTTATTATTTTATTTCAACCATTTTACAATTTCATATCTCCCAACAAAACTTTCAATACACGACTTTTTTTTCAATGAAATTTTATGAATTTCCTTTCTCAAGTTTCGATACATTCATGGTGAAAAATATTATACAAAAAATTTGAACAATTTTTAGATGAATGATTTTATTCTAACTTTTTCGCTCTCTAATTTTCCCTTGAATACATCCATTTTTTGCAAATGTTTCTTCAATGCTCTTTCTTTTCGCTCTAGAATTTTTAATTTCAGAAACTGACGTGATTTTTGAAATCATTCGAACTTAGCATAACAAACAACAATTTATGCACATTATTATTATTATTATTGATGTTATCAAATAATCTCCTTATTTTCCATTTGAATATTTTAAAAAGTTCTTTGATATTTATTTAAATAATTTTGCATTATCGATTGCTTATTCAAAAAAAATACTGGTACAGTTTAAGTTAACAAATAAGGAAAGAAACTGATACTGATAAAAATAAAAACTCACTCACATACTCAAGAATTTGTCAACAAAATATGTTTGCTAATTTTTATTTTATGACATGCTATTTTACTGTTTACATTTCATTGGATGGTTTTGTATATATTTATGTTAACGACGTTGTTATATATTCATAATGGATGAAGCAAATAGTTTTGTAGAGGAACCTTTGTTTCAAATGGTTTCAATTAATTTTAATCATTTCAATTTGTTATAATGATTTTGGTTTCTATTTTTTGCACGTATTAAATAGCTGGATAAATCAAAAAAAAGAAAAAAGCAAAGATTTTGACAAATTTAATATTACTATTTTCAAAATATTTATTTCAAAACGGAGAAAAACAAAAATTTTTGCTAAAATATATTTTTTGCAAGATAACTAAAGAAATGGCTTTGCTGGAAAACAATATTTTTCCATTTTCTCCTCCAAATTTCTTCGTTCGATTTTTTTCTGTTGTTAAAACTTTTACCTTTCGTTTTCATCCATTTTCGTCTTTTCCCTTTTTTTCCAATTTCAAATCAGAACAAATAAGAGAAAGAAAGAAAAAAAGTTGATAAACAGAAAGAATGTAATTTGTTTTTATATTCAATGCGGAATTATTTTAAAAGAAATTAATTGTTAACAGAAATTTAATTGCTTAATTTTTTTAGCAATAAAATGTTTTCTGCAATAATTCATTGCCTTTTCACCATCATGAGATTGCAAATTTGTGTAGTAAAAACTAGATTTGCTAATCAGTTAGCACTATTTTAATTGATAAATTAAGAATTAGTGAACAAATGGTTAAGCTGTTATTAATTACATTAATATTAGTGAGGTGCGAAAATAAAAACTGCTATCATGAACCTGAAATCTTATCTTACTTATTGCAATATCATTATTAGAAAATGCCCTGAGCTTTTTAATATTTAATTCAATTTCCTGATATTCATTTTGAATTCAGTTCAAAATTTAATTCCATTTTAACTAACTTGCTCCAATAGTTTAATTGTGGATGAATTTTTTAATGTGTTAGTTTGATAAGTGTTTCGCTAAGTGATAAATTGTGAATTATCATGAACTCTTCAAAAGATATGCCTGTAATAACAAATTGGTTCTCTGTTTTATCTCAATTCTTGTAATGCTGAAAAACCGATAAAATCCAAACATTTGTTATTCATAAAATTCTTCATCTTGCAATAAATCCCTTTAAATGAACTATATTTGTAAGATTTTTGGACAATAAATCCAAAAATCTTGCAAATATAGTTCATATAAATATTTCACATAAAAATTAGTTTTTTTTTTTTTAAATATTTTATGAAAAAAAATAGCTTAACTATATTTTTTAGTCATAAATATAATTTTCTTATTGCAGTTTTGCTGGTAGATATTGACTGATTAGAATATACGAGCATACCCTTACATAACACTATCAATTATCACTTTTTTCTTTCACCAAAATATATTTTGTCAATCTTTATCGATATATCATTTTTCTATCTTTTATATCATTGTTAAATTATTAATTTCACGTGACAAATTATCTATTTTATGTGACGTATATTCTCACCTAACGACATATTTACTTTGAATGTTCGTGAAGTTTTCTCCAACTGCATGCATATTTATTATGTTTACTTTATCGTATCTCTTCCATCTGTACTTTCTTTTTCTTTTGGCTGTTATTAGAAAATATATTTGTGATCAGTTATTTTCAAATTTTAGCTATTAGCATCATTTTTCATGTTATTTGCTATTTTTATTCCATTCTGACTATCATTTTGCATTTCTACGTCAAACTATTATCTGTCAGATTCAACCGTTATGTCACACTTCATATTATCTAACTAATAACGGCATAAATTTATAAAATTCAAGCGTTATGTACGCACTACGTCATATCTCATTTTATTTAAATTCGAGAAAATGCGTGTTTTTTTCCAATGTAAATTCTTTCTATTTAAATTTTTAGAATCGTTAAATTAACGCAAAGAATGGATTGTTAAACGTATATGTTCTTTAAATTGATGAGAAAAATTATTGGTGGTTTTTCATATCGAAATTCACGTACTGTTTATTTTTTATTAATTTGCTTTATTTCATAAATATAAATGCTATTTGCTGTTAATATTTGCTACTGAATTACTGGAATTAAAATGGAAATTGAGGAAGAAGGAAAAGTAAAAGTTGCTGTACGCGTTCGTCCATTCAATAAACGAGGTATGCTATTACTTTTATAAGGAATATTTCAAAGACAAAAAAAAATCTAAATTTTTATATTAGATTAATTAAAAATTGAAGGGAAGAAAAGATATTAGCATTTCTGAGGATTAATTCATTCATTTTTGATTGAAATTTTATAATCATTTCCTCAATTCCTTTAATAATTCTAGAAATATCGGAATATATTTGTTTACTTAAAGGAGAAAAATAATACTCATAAAATATAATAAAAATTTTATATGATTTTCAGAATGCCAAAATAGTTATTCGTTCTTTTTTTTCTTCTGAAAAAAAGATTAAAATAAAAGAATGGAATGTACATTTCACAATGATAAGTAGAATTGAAATTTTAGGAAGCATTTCTGTTAAATCAGTGAATAGCAACAAAATGTTAGCATAAAATAAAAAAAAAAGATCAAAATTGATGATCGCTTCAAAACTTTTACATTTGTCACTTTTGCTTGCAAATAACTAAATAACCATTGTATTTCATATGAATCATATATTTCCATAAAGCTTAAAATATACCCTTCCTTTGGGAGAATTGAAAAAAAAAAACAGAAAGATAAAAAGAGAAGAAAGGAGAAAAAAAGGTGCGAAAAGGGAGAATTCTATAAAACTTGTGGGAAATGTTCCTTTTAAATTCGTTTATTTCATTCGTTTATTGTTTTAAATTTCATTTAGCTATTAATTGTGTTTATTTTTTTCATTCGTAAAATTAATATTTTTTATTTTATTAAGAGCGAGATTTGAATACAAAATGTATTGTATCAATGATCGGTGATCAAACAATCCTTAGACATCCTATTGATGAGTAAGTATACATTAAAAATTATTCGATGTAATCTACTAATTTTGGTTATCAATTCGAGAATGAATGATCAAAATTTAATTCGCTTAATAAATGTAACAATAAATTGACTTTTTTATGCTTTCATATTATTTAAGTAAAGATATTTTGCATATTTGCAAAAGCATATGAAATTCTTAAAATAGCTTTTACAAAATTTAATTTTACATAAAATATAAAATCTGTTTCAGGAAGCAACCCAAAAACTTTGCATATAATCATTGTTTTAATTCGTCTGATCCTACCGCACATGATTTTATTGGTATGTATTTGGAAAATTTTCATTTCATTTTCACTCATGTTTTAATAAATTTAGCAAAGATCAAATGTAATCAATGAATATTTTCTTTTTTTTTCTTTCGTCTTTATGGTCCTTTTCCAATAAAATGCATATTTTGACCAAAAATTTTGATAAATTAGAAGATTTAAGAGTTGAATGGGCAATTTTTTATGTTTTATGATAAGAATGTGAACATTGAGAAATTGTAAAATTTGTTGAAAAATTTACACTATACTGAAATTATATAAAATTAAATAAATTTTATTTTATCTTGAAATTATCTAAACTGAATAATTTGCAGATCAAAATGAAGTATTTCAACAAGTTGGCTCGGCCGTGCTTGTTAATGCATTTGCAGGTTATAATGCTTGCATACTTGCATATGGACAAACTGGTATCATTTCATTTTATTCTTTTAATTAATATAAAAGTTCAGAAATTATTAATGCTTAAGAAGGCATAAATTTAATTGCTAAAATTTTTGTGTAAATTGATTAATCCATAGTTAATTAAATAATTTGTTTACAGGCTCAGGTAAAAGTTACACGATGATGGGTACAGCGGAAAATCCTGGCATTATTCCACGTCTTTGTTGTTCAATTTTTCAAAAAATTAGTGAACTATCGTCGGATAGTTTAGCTTTTAAAGTAGAAGTATCCTATTTGGAAATTTATAATGAAAAAGTACGCGATCTTTTGGATCCTAAAAAGTAAGTGATGTGAAAATTACTCATAATTATATATAATTATCATGAATAATCATGATATCCTGAAACTCATTGTATTGTTGACGCTTTTGTCACATTTCAAGTATAAATACTAGTCGATTCCTTTCTTAATTTTTAGCTAGTTTCCTTTATATTTGTCAAATATTTATGCTAATTATCTCTCATTGGAGATCACCAGAGAAATCTTATACTTAAATAATATTATTGGTTAAAAATAAATTACATTTATTCCATTATCATTTAGTTATGCAATGACAATATAGGTATTTTGTCTCGATCAAATTAATTTTCTCCTAAAAAATTCCTCATAATTTTACATCAAATTAATGAAACTCTCAGAAACACTATCATCGCTTTTTATCAGTGAAATTATTTGTTCAAATTTTTAGGACAAATAAAAATTTGAAAGTTCGCGAGCATAAAGTCCTCGGTCCAATGGTTGATGGTTTATCCGTACTGGCTGTTTCATCTTTTGAAGTTTGTCCATTCATTCTCAATTAGTTTTACATGAAATTTTTAAAATGTAAGAAAATTGTTTGAAACAAAGAGAAAACTGTTCTATTCGATAATTTTTTTCAGGTATTTATTCCATAAGTATTTTCGAAGTATCAAATATGTATGAAATATCAAATCGTTCAAAAATATAATCATTTTTGAGCAATTTTGAAAAAATCGATAAAAGAAATTTGATGTTAAAATTTTGTTTACGCTATCCTTCTTTAGCATAAATTCGTTTTTTCTTTTCCTTTCTTAGCAAATAGCATCTTTAATGGAAGAGGGAAATAAATCACGAACTGTTGCTGCTACCAATATGAATACGGAAAGTAGTCGTTCACATGCCGTATTCAATATTCGTCTCACGCAAGCTCTTACGGATATGAAAAATGGAGTACGCAATAAATTTCAATACCTTTCTTCTCTGTTTTCTCATTGATCGGCAAATTTCATTTTTGTTTGAATTAACAGTTTAAGAAAAAAAAAAATTTGTTGATTCAATCAAAAAATTTTTTTTGGAAACTTTGAACTTTCTGTTAGACGTTCAAATATTGATAAATTTTCAAATTTTCGGTTTTTAGTTTACTGGCGAAAAAATGAGCAAAATATCGCTAGTTGATTTAGCTGGAAGTGAACGAGCGCAAAAGACTGGCGCAGTTGGAAAAAGATTGGAAGAAGGCGGAAATATCAACAAGTATTTTATGAAATTTTTTTTTTCAATTTAAAAAAGTTTCTTAATTTACTCATTTAAAGTAGCTAGGATATATTTTAGAAAGTGTTTACGTATTTTTTGTGACTTTAGCATTAAGTTAAAACGTTAGGTGTGATCTGTGATAGCAAACATTCATATTATGATAATTAATTTTATCGAAATTAAATATTTCGATAAAAATTGCATAACAGTTGGTGCACTACTGAAATAGAAAACGAATTAAATTGTAGATCTTTGACAACACTTGGAATGGTAATTTCCGCATTAGCGGAACAGTCACACGCTAACGGAATGTCGAAATCGAAGTTTATTCCATATCGAGATTCTGTGTTAACGTGGTGTGTTATGAAATTCTTTTAAATTTTCCTCAATTTACATCTTAAATTATTTTCCATTTTATTGTGATGCATATTTTAATAATTCAAGAAGTTGCTTTTTCTTTTCTTTTTTTTTTCCCTCGTAAAAATGAATTTATTTTATGCGTATATTGATATATGTAAAAAATGCTTACTAAAACCGATAGTAAAGAAAAAAATTGAATGAATAAAAATTTTTTAACAATTATTTTATAAAATTTTATTTCAGAAGAAAATTCTTTCTAACTGGTCATTGTTATTTATTTTGCAGGTTGCTAAAGGATAGTTTAGGTGGCAATAGTCGAACGGTAATGATTGCAACGATATCTCCTGCAGCGGATAATTATGAAGAAACCTTATCCACCTTGAGGTTGATAAGTTGTAATTTTGATAAAATGAAAAAAAAACTAGAAATTTCATAGGAAAATAAAAACATAAAATTTTTAAATTAGAGATTGAAAAAATAGCATTATTATTTTTTAAAATAGTTTTCTTTAATGGATTTATGCTCAAATAATTTTTTCATATTGTTGAAGGTATGCTGATAGAGCTACCAAAATCATCAATCACGCCGTAATAAACGAAGATCCTAATGCTAAGGTTATACGTGAATTACGTGAAGAGGTAGAAACGCTACGAGCACAAATATCACAAACAGTTAAAGAACAAAATGTAAGAATTAATTTGAATGAAAATCAAGTCTACAGTTATAGTCTATTACGTTAATTAATGCTAAATTTGATTTATGCTAATGAATCGATCACATAAAACGAATGCTAAACAAATATGATATTATCAGGAAACAGAAGAGTTACGTGAGCGATTAGCAGAATCGGAACGTTTGGTAGAGCTAATGAATAAATCATGGGATGAACGATTGAGAGATACGGAAGCGATTTATCGGGTAATTGATACTTTCATCTGCTAACATTTAATACAATTTGAAAATATTTTTTAAGAAATTTTATCTGTAATTTCTATCCAATATTTTAATCTTTACGAGATAACATTTATGCAAAAATTTTATTGCAAAAATAGCAGTTGGAAAGATTATGCAAATTTGAAATTTTCATTAGCAGAGTTAATTTTTTTAGGAAAGGCAAAAAGATTTAGCTGAGATTGGTATTTCGGTGGCTGGATCCGGTATAAAAGTTGAAAAAGACCGATTCTACCTGGTCAATTTGAATGCTGACCCATCATTAAACGAGCTTCTTGTCTATTATATAAATGTAATTCATTTTACTCTTCACAAAATGACTAAATTGTGTTATGCTTTATGCTAATTCTGATCTGATTATCTAATGAAATCTTTATCAAAAGATCAGATGATACGATTAAAGAATATTCCTCTCTGCAACAACCTCCAGATAATTTATCTGCAGAAAATAAAATTATAATTTATTTGAAATATTAAGCTGTTGTAATTGCAGCATCAGGCTGTAGTTGGTAGTGCAGAACAGCAGCAAGGTGTGATAGGAACTGATGAAAAGGTTGATTTTATCCTTCAAGGACTTGGAGTACAACCTCGCCATGCTTTATTGGAAATTGTCGAAGATGGTTGTCAACAGCGCCTTTTCATTGAACAGATTGATGATAAAGCCAGGTTCATTATTGTTATCAAATGCGGTTTAAAGCTAATTTATTAAGCTAATAAATATTGATATTCTCAGACATTACACAGTAATTTAAAAATTGCCATTTTCATTGATATCAAAAAAGTGGGATTAATCAATTATCGATGCAAAATGAATCAGATCAATCTTATTGCTTTAAAAAAAAAGGATTGTGAATAATGATTTAGTAAGCTTTGTATTGGAAATATTTTATAGAACAGTTCATAATAGCATTAAATGACGTACGACAATATTTCAATATTATCAATAATAATATTTCCCTCAAAGAAGCAAACGATCTTAGAACATTTTCTATTTTTTAATTTGAGCCAGCAATAAATGTATTTTTTCAGGATTTGTGTGAACGGACGTTTGATAACGGAACGTACGCTTCTTCGTAACGGTTATCGTCTTCTAATTGGAAATAATCATTTCTTCCGAGTAAACTGTCCAAAGGAAGCTATCAACATCAATGCTTCCATTATGGAAGAATCAAATGCAATGTTATTCGATTATTACGATGCTTGGCAGGAGGTTTTTTTTTTTCTTTTGTATTAACAATACTAAATATTGTTTCAACTTTTTGCACTTAAATAAATTAAAATATCATCTTTAAATAAATTAAAATATACAGAGGAAGCTTTCAAAATATTACCATTTTACTGTAATCGTTTTGGAGTAAGAAAAAAAAATTTACAATTGAATGAAAAACATTTGGAGTAACTAACTATAATTGTAAAAGTATGAAAAGTTAAGAATTTTTTCTATTCTTTCAATTAATTTTTGATTAAAATATATAACAGTATATTGATAACATTTAGGTAAATTCTGGTATAAATGCGAATCCAATTACAACAGCTGTAGATCAGTATATGGAACAAATTACGAAGAAGCATGAGGTTTGTATTTTTAATCCGAACCTACGTAATATGCAAAGAAAAAAATAAAAGTTGAAGTTTTCAAATTTAATTTTTGTTTGTTTAAATTGTTGATTTTATTAAAGAGCAATGGATTCATGCAATCAAATACTTTTGATCCGTCTGATACTGATGTAGTATCAGATTTATGCTGCGCTGAATATTCTGAAGATTCATTGCACAGATTTGAATAAAAGCATTTTAACCTTAGCTAAATTTAAACTTTCAAATATTAAATAAAAGGCGGAAAATGATTAGGTTTTTTTTAGGAAGAGAAGCAAGCAGCATTGGAGCAACAATATGAGGCATTCGAGAAGTACATTCAAGGACTTACTCAAAGGTATTATCTGTAATTTCATTATTCGCTATTTATTTATCAGAAATTATTTCATTCAAATTTCATCTGCATAAACTTCAAACTGTCATCTTGTCTTCGTTTATTTCAAATTACTCCAGACAGTTAATTGTACATTTAATTTAATCTAAACATTCCAGCTTTACACCTTCAACGCCAACAGCAAGTTTCGGATATTTGACACCGATTGGTACACCTGGATGTCAATTTCCGCCTATTGGTTTTCCGGCTAATCCAAAAGCTAGCATGCGATCGAAATTCTTCAATTGGGCTCAACATAGGTAAATCTGAATATCATTCAGTGTCTCATTTCTTTTTTCGAAACACAATCACAAATGTTTTTGAAAATTAGAATTACTTTGTTTTGTTTTTAGAGAGGAAATGTTCAAAGAAAATTTGATACGTTTGAAGAGTGATATCGTACGCGCTAATGCATTAGCTCGTGAAGCTAATATGATTGCAGCTGAGCTGTCACCATGCCGATGTCCAGTCATCTATGATGTTACATTGCAAATTCCAGCAGCGAATTTAAGGCCGTCAAAAATAAAGGTAGCATTTTTGATGTTATCATTATAAAAATGATTTGAAAAATATCACGGAGAAAAGAAATGATGACATCGGTAAGTTTAATTCCAAATAAATTCTCTAAATGGAATTATAGGAAGGAAGATTTGTTTGTGAACCATTTATTGTGGTCAAACGTACCGGTATTGATGGTTATCAATTATGGTCAACTGCCCAGTTAGAGAATAAATTAATCGACATGCGCGAAATGTATAATGAAAAAATAACTGGAATCGAAAGGTATGATTTAATTTCTTTAGCAACAGTTTCCAGAATATCGAATAATTTGCAAACCATTGTTCACGAATAAATTGCAATTCAACTTATTTTCCAATTACCTATATCGATGGTTAAAATAGTTCAGGTGTGTTACCGGCAGGTTTTATACTTGAAATATTTGCATGCCTTAGATTTTTTAAATTAATTAAGGAAATTTCATATATCCTATTTTTAAAATCAATCTATTCATAAATTACGATACTGTTAATTTAATTAAAATATATTTTATCAAATAAGAATATGCTTATTTTCTTATAGCCCAGCAACTTTTCAAAAACACACTATAAAACCACTTAAATTATGCGTTGATTGTTGGTTAATATAAGTATTTTGCCTTAATAAAATTGGAGAAATTACTATTTTATTGTAACAAAGATAAAGGAAAATTAATATATCATTAATCTAAAAGAAATGATAAAGTTGGAGGAGTAATTAAATTATGTAACAATCGATATAGAATAATACATGAAGGATAGTAAGTAATGTAAATAAAAATTAAAGAATTGAGTAATGTAAATGAAAATTGAATGTGTAAAAATTGCATCTGCATGTAATTAATATATTATTAATTTGAACTGAATTTGAATCATTATTTGAATTCACGTAAATTGTAGGGACGATGCTTCGACATCGGAGGAATTGATGAACAATGAACATTTTGCGTTGGAAGATGGTTTTAATATAAATGAATGCCAAAGTCCAGTTGTTGAAAATGTCTTTGACAGTCAGGTAACAAAAATCTTTTCCTCTACTTTGTTATTTCAAATTATAATTCAAGGAAAAAAAAGATCCTTCATTACAAGTAGAAATTTCTGACAGATTTTAATGAAAGCTTGAAATTTTAATTAATTTTATGTTTAATTTTAAGATTGCATTCTTTTCGAAATATACTTTTCGCATCAAAAAAAAAAACATTTCACTTTTCATATAAATAAATTAGATTGATAATTTACAGGAGCATCATAGTCTAATTGGTGTTGCCAATGTATTTCTAGAAGTTCTGCTTCACGATATGAGGCTCAATTATCATGTTCCGATTATCAGTCAACAGGTGAGCTTAATATAATATATATAAATATGGCCAAGTCTGAACATTAAAATCACTGTATTCTGCAGGGTGAGGTTAGTGGTCGTCTTCATGTTGAAGTATATCGGTTAGCCGAAATGGATGATTCCGGTATTGTGAGTAGTTTGGATTCATTGGATTCAAATCGTCCATTAGATCCACAGTCTATCGGTGCTGCCTTCTTGGGAAAAACAATCCGATGCAGGGTAATTTGTTTATATGGTTTTTGTCAATTTAAATTTTATGAAGATTTCTATAAATAAATCAAAAACAAATTTTAGGTTCGCATTAAAAAAGCATCAAATTTACCATCATCATTATCACATTTCGTATTCTGTCAATATTCCTTTTTTAACATTAGCGAAATTTTGGTTGTTGCTCCAATATTCGATCCTAATGCCGTTCGATCAGATCGTGCTGACATTTCATGCAATTCCAATTTTCAATTTGATCACGAAAAGGTTTCCTTCACTTGAACGGCATTTACTTTCTCTAATAAATAATTCCTTGGACTGAATGATTTAATCTCATTAATTGATGTTTTAATGAAAATCATCATAATTTGCACTTCGCTAAATGATTAAATGATCTTAGTTCTATTTGTAGAAAAAGAAAACATTTGAAGTATTATCAATTAATAATTTTTATTTTATCTCAAAAAAGAGGAATCATAAATTTTAGGATTTCTGTGTAGTTGTAACAGAAGAATTTCTGGAATATATTCAAGAAGATGCTTTATCGATCGAAGTATGGGGTCATAGAAGTAGCGGTTTTGACAATGATTTTGTACCGTCAGCTATTGCAAATGGTATCATCAATGTTGAACAAAATTACAAAAGTTTACAGGTAAGTAAATCGATCACTGTGAAGCAGTAGATCGAATAATATCAGATAAAATTATCTCAACCATAGTTATGATATTCAAATATTGCTATTACTAGCAATGTTCATTAATGTGGTATCATTCACATTCTGACTAAAATCATACATGATTAAAAATCTTAAATGATATATTGCATGCTGTTGCAAGAGATTTTGCAGAATGCATGCTGCAAGTGAAAAGTATATTGTAAATGGAAAATTACTGAAAATAAAAATGTTAACAGTGGAATAATTTCAGGAAAGATGGTCCGAAGTGACAAGACGCATTGAACTTCATGTCAGTATTAAAGAGATGAACGATAATGGTCAGTATGTCTCGGTAGAAGTGCGTCCATCTGACGAAGTACTTACCGGTGGTATCTATCAGTTGAAACAAGTAAGTGAAAATTAATGAAGTAAGTTAATAACGGATAATTAAGACAGTATTATACAGAAATGCAACAGCAAAAAAGAAACAATTATTGGTATTTCTAAAAATTTTTGAACAAAATTTAGATTTTGATAGCATTTAACTATGAGAAAATTTAATGCATTCAAAATATGATAATTGATTTTTCCTTTTTTTTTTGAGCATAGAAGATATGCGCGTAGATATAGAAGTAATAGCTGAGAAAAGATTCGGATAATTATCTTCTCATTAAATTTCCTCCTGAATTCGGATATAAATTATCATGGAATATAGTTATGAATGATCCTTTTATCGTTTTCAGGGTCAACAACGACGTATTCACGTGAAAGCATTACCAGTTGCGGATCATGGCAATTTACCGTTAGCATTTGCACAAATTACTTCCGTTTCCATTGGATGTATTTGTTCCAGGTAAGTTAGAATGTGTGAATTCAGATAAATGCTCAGAATTCACACGTTCTAATTAAAGTGTTAGTTAAAAATTTGATTTTTAAAGTTTAAACGGAATCTCTTTCTTTCATTCATTCGTCATTACATTCCACGGTTAACGATGTAATCATCGCATTATTTTCAGAAATCTAACAACACAAAAACCTTTGGATAGTTATCAGGAGGAAGACCTGGAAAGGATTCGTGAGCAATGGACTACAGCTTTAGCTAATAGGCAAAACTATTTAGTGAGCCATATTAATGCAGTAAGTTACTCAGCGTTATATTTGATAAATTAAAAAATTTGCCGATTATTATTTAATTAATTTCATTAAACAGTCAAATTACTATTCAACTATTACATTATTAGAGCTTATTAATTTCAAAATCGTTTAAATTTCAGTTATCAGCTAAAGGCAATAAAAAAACAGAAGCAGAAAAAGAACGTGAACAATCACTGATCAATCAATGGGTTGCATTAACCGAAGAGCGAAATGCAATTAGCGTGCCGACTGCTAATAGTAATATACCTGGTTCACCTGCTGAATGGTAAGCATAGTGAATAAAGTATGTGAAAATTGTAGTAATAGAAAATCGAATCAAAGTATTTAAATGATTACAAAACCTTAAAAAGAAATTCAAGTCTTAAAATTTAAAAATTTTATATACGAGAAATTTTCTAATTAGAAAAAAAACCAAAAATTTGATCAGTCAGAAATGTGATCATACCATTGTATTGATTGAAAGAAAAATTTATTTCATCTAAATGAGCTTTTTGTAACCTTTGCTCTTATTGTTAGGATATTGGATAGCTATTATCATTTGTTCAATAAATTATTAGCATTAAAGCTTTTGTTTTCAGGTTACCTCCGCTTGGTATTGAAAGACACATACCTGTGCTGTTTCTTGATCTAAATTGTTAGTTTTTAGCCATTATGACTTATTTCTATCGAAGGTTAATAACAGCGAAAAAAACAAGATCAGTTAGCCGATCAATCAATACTGCACCGTTGATACTTCTAAGATTTTGCATGAGATAAAAACTTATAATTGCACTGACAGCATCATGGAATTATCATCCCATATCTAATGTATTTGCAGCAGATGATGTCACCGAGGAGATACCCTCTGATGATGGTAGCATCCGAATAGCTGGCTTACAATCATTCTTATCCAACGAGAACTGTGGTCAAATCATTATGCTTCCTATTTTGGAACATGATGTTAATGAGGTGAGATATGTTGCAATATTTATAAAACTTCCACAATAATTAATACTAATTAGCAAAACATCTCATTATATTTGAATGTATCGAAATTTGTTTGGCTAGGAATATTTAAGGATATTGTTTGCAGATATCGGCTACCTGTTCATGGGATAGTTCAATCCATGAAAATCCATCACTAAATAAGCCTACCGAAGGTTCTGATCATGTTTATGCTATTGTTAAGGTAAATTGCTATTTCAATTAGTCAAATATTATCGATAGTATTGAAGATAAAAGAATACTTACCTTATCAATGTATGATAATTAAAATATTAGATGAAATGGAAAAATTGATAAGTTTCAAAAAGTAATACTTAAACACTAACATTCTAGGTAATAGTACGTCTTTCACATCCATGTGAAATTGATATCATTTTACGGAAGCGAATATGCATGCATGTATATAGAAAAACGGGCCTAACCGAACGATTAATCAAGAAATTAGTTGGATCGGTAGGTATTTTGTTCATGTAACATCGAATTTCTTTAATAAAAAGGGAATCGAAAATGACTTTTTTGTCGTTCCTTTTTTTTAAAGTGATAAACAGAAGTTTACTTTAAAAAAAAAAAATTTATTACTAGAAGATTGACGTAGCATGTTACCTAGTGATTCTTGTGTAACGTACGCATACGTTGAAATTTATAGTAGATCGGACTTGAAAATATTTAATCCAAAATAACAAATCCAATTTTTCATATATTTGCTAAAATCTCATGTTAGTAA